TTTCATTGTTTTCTCTTTTTTTTTTTTCATGTTAAAACTACCAAAATTTGAACAATAATATCATGTGAAAAAGGTGGCGAAGGATCCAAGTGGGAAGGAGATAAATGCATTGGCAAAACACATACAGAACCTGCTGACACCATCAACACCCATCTTCTTCAATACAATGTACGGCCCATTTACAGACGGGTCGGATTTTGTTCGCGGGTACCCATTTAGCTTTAGGGAAGGAGTGCCCACTCAGCTTCTCAAGCCTCAAGAGAGAAACACCAGGTTAATTACTTGTCAAGCCCCAAAATCCACTCTTTTTTTTTTCTTGTAATTTTATGCATGCCCATTTTTTAAAAGGATTTTTTTTTTTGAGTTTTATGAGATGAAAGAATAATACTATAAGATATGGCATGGTAAACAATAAAATGTGGTTTCGTAGTATGAGGTCTCACTTTCTATTAAAAGTGACGTGTGGACGTTTGATTCATAAATTTAGAATCATGATTCAAGATTATTTTTGATTTACGTGTGTTTTTATAAGAAAAAATACTGTAACGAACCACGAATCATAATTCAAATTATGACACGAATACACTTTTTGGGTTTCAATAGAGAGCTCAATGGGTCAGCCATGTATTTTGGACTCGGTAAGCCTATTGGCAAATACGATGACATGTGGGCTGGCTGGTGTGCCAAGCTATATCTGTCATAAATCATTTCTCTCTGATTTAATATACGGAAATAGTAGAAAATAGGTCAATATGAAAAGCTTAAAATAGTATATAGGCCAATTTTTAGTTATAGAAATTAATAGGCCATAACTTGTCAAGTTATGATTCATAACCAGATAAGTTATGAACAAACTTGTTAAGTTATGGTTCATAACCAGACAAGTTATGGTCAAAAATTGTGAATTATGGACAATAACTTGTCAAGTTATGGTTCATAACCAGACAAGTTACGGATAAAAACAGTAATTTAGCCTATTTATTAACTTATGTAAACTATTGGCCTATTAATTTTAATTCATCTCAAGTCTTGACCTATTTTCCTCTTTCTCCCTTTAATATATGTTAAAAATGTAAGTTTTGTTGAAGAGTATTTGAAAGAATCTCAACGTGATACTAATATATGTAACGATAGAGTCGCCATTTTTTTACCGGTCGATGTATTTCTTAAAATTTAATTTGGCGTGATGATTTTAAACACTTGCCAATCAAAGAATAACAGTTTAGGCATCGCACGAAGTTAATAGCTAAGTATTAAACAGTTGTTTGGTATACTTATTTGAGCATGTCATATTAAATGGCTTCGGTGCAACTTTAACTTCTCCACTGCATGACTAATATGTAGTTTTAGTTGACTTGTTAAATGCCTAAAAGTGGCCTATTAGCTCAAGTGCAAAAAAATACGCTGATTCTTCTCTTCAAAATTTTAATAATGCACATAGTTCTCTTAAAGCTTCCTTTTTTATTGCCAACTCTTCTATTTAGTTTAAGTATTACTGAATCAAAGTGCTTTTTCCAAGTGTTTTTCTAGGTGATTTGCGACCATTCGAGTCTTGGGGTGAAAACAGGATTGCCATAAATTTGGCACGGCAAAGCAAGCAACCCAATTGTGAATCTGAAGAAGGAATACAAGGGAATATATTGGCAGGAACAGATCATTCCATTCTTCCAATCTGTTGTCATTCCTAATTAAGAGTGCAAAAATGTGGGGCAATGCTACATTGAGCTGGCCAAGAGTGTCAAGAAAAGCTTGGGGGACGCCATGGGGAGGAACTGAACCCACCACCACAAAAACCGGCCTCAGCTCATGCCCAACAAGTCCCTAATTCCGAGCCCGAGTAGAGCAAAAGCTCGTTTGATTCGTAGGTTCAAACAGAATGTTTGAACAAAAATTTTAGTTTTTGTAAGAGAAAATATTATAACAAAAATGTTTAAATTGTGGTTGAACTTACAAAACGAACGGAACCAAAGTGTTTCAAGTTCCTTGGAATTTAGTGCTGCCAAGTGGCAAGTGGAAAGCCTTTGGTTTAGTGTTGTGTTGTTTTAGTTGTCAAGATCAATTGTATTTTATGTTTTTTTTTTTTCCTTCGTATTTGTGCTCACTGAATTAGTTGAAATAATGTTCGTTTCCAACTATATATCCTACTATTATTATGTTGTTAAAGTATTTCTTATAAAAATATTGTTACTAATTTAGTGTAACTTGTGCATTTTTATTCAATTATATTTTCCCCATCAGTAATAAACCGTATCCTAATTAATTGCCAAGAAAGGGGTTCTTTATACTAGATGAGAATGCCAATAAGAGGGTTCAAAAATGAATGTTTTTGTCCAAATTAATGAAATTTCTTATCTTTAATCAATGGCAGTTGTAGATATATAAATCTTTCAACTGATACTTGATATATATGTGCAAGTTGTTAAACTAATCTCACTTTTTTAACCGTCTACCTTAATTTGGACACCAAATCTAGAAAATTACCTATGGGAACGTGAAATAAAATTACCTTAATATGTGCAACTTGTTGAAAACGTTAACACCCCATTTCTGATTATAAAGATATCCCACATACGATTTCACCAACTAGCGAAGTTGTTTCTTGACTCATGACTTTCAAAAGCAAAATGACTTCCACAAGAATAATTACTTCATACTCTAGTCATACATTACACGGGAATATGACCACCTTTCATTGAATTGTTTGAACTCCAAAAGTCCTTCCAATTCAAGGCAGACCATGTTGGGAAAGTACTTGAATTTGGTGAGCAGCTTATATAAATATTAATTTTCCGTACAATATACCAAATATATCACTTGATTAAAAGAAAAGAAGCCTAGCTACTTGACTAGACTAGGTGGAGACATTGGACATTCCTTCACACAACTTGGTTAAAAGATTAGGAACTGTCTTCAAAGATGAAAATGTAATACATATATATATATATATATATAGCTTTTTTTCCTCCAACATAACATATAGAAGTGTAAAATATTTATTCAATATAACACTGACATTAAAAATGTGAGATGTTAAATATTTAATTATCTTCTACTATTATCGCACATTTCTAACATCCTTATTATGGTAAATAACCAAATTAAAGTATAACAGTAGTATGGCTAATCAAAATTCTTAGTGTTATGTTTTTTTCTAGTATTCATGTTACGTTAATAACTACAATATTACGTTTTCACTTCCATATATTACGTATGAGTGACGGTCCTTCAGAGGAACCATAGCTAAAGCCTATATATATATATATATATATGTATGGTAAGTTTGAATTATTGGGAATTGAGGTCAGGGGCCGGTTTGTAGCTCCAATACTATAATAGATGTGGGCCTTGTTTGGTTCGCCGTTCGGATTGTAAGATTTGGTTTGAATTGTGGTGATTTGAATTGTGATTCGACCGGTGTTTAGATACACACATAAATTATAATTTGGATAGGGAATACAATCCGAATTGTGTTTAGATAAAGTGTTAAAAATGCTATTAGAGTTTTGTAACAAATCTAATAAAACCTCATTATAAATGACATTAAAAAATATGCATTATGATTGAGGATTTGTTCCTCTCTTCAGTATGAACACATTGAAAAAAAAATACCTCAATCGGAATGAAACGAAAAAATTATGACATGTTTAAGCTTAAAATTAAGGGGAAATAACAAGTAAAATCCGAATTATTTTTATTAGTAGATAACAATTCAGATTGTAAATTTTAAGGAAGGGAGTCAATTCTAAAATTAAAGGTTTGAACCATTATTAATAATTTTAATTGCCCTCATTTTAGTTTTTTACCAAACACCAATTTGAATCTTCAACTACAACCGAATTGAATTTTTTAATTTAGATTGTTGAAACAAACAACTAAGTATACTTTGTAAAATAATGATACAACTCTGACATTTATGAGAATAGATCAATATACGTACATGATAAGTTTGAATTTGAATCTAATACTAATATTATACTCTAAATATTACTAACAAGCTAACTCAAAGAATAACAATATAATACTAATGTAATCTCTAAATATCAAGGCTAAACTAAATTATATAATAATAAGATAAATATAAACTATTTAAATATATATTATTCTTATCATAAAAAATATTTCACCGCGGTTCATTCGACTCACGTGATTGCCTCATTAACCAATTATGATCATGGCGTACACATGTATATTATAGCCGTCATTTCATTGAAACTGAAGTTTGTAATAATGAACGTCTAAGTAAGCACATTAGGAAGGTTGGCGTTTTGTTCACGGCACTACCATTTCCTTTCAATTAATTACAGTCTGAATATAAAGAGTCAAAATCAGCTGATAAGCGTCAAAGGTTTCTGTAGTTAGTGAGTGCCTAACGACGCATTCCATAATTTCCATTACGCCGCCGCCGCCGCCCACGTTTTTCTCTACATTTCTATTTTTCAGGCATTTCCTTAATTATAGAGCATATATAATAGAATTAATCTCACAAATAATTATGAAGTTTACCTTTAATTTCATTTTGATCATTGATTTTTAAAATATCTCATAATTAGTTTTTAAAGTTTTACTTTGTTTCAATTTTAATCTTTCTCTTATGTAAATGTTACATATTTGATGAAATTTGTATAAATTAAGAACTAAAATTAAAAACATTTAAAGTTTAAGGACTAAAATAATATAAATAATAAAAGCCGAGTTCCATACATAGTCTCTAAATTTTATATATTTGCAATGTTTGTCTTTAATTTGTACAAATTATGTCAAATATTTAACATTTAGTTAATATAAAGATTAAAAATGCAACAGAATAAAACCTCAAAAATTAAATATGAAATGTTTTAAAACTCAGAGGCTACAGTAGATTGAGGATAAAGCTGAAGTACCATTTATAGGATTAATCTCGTTTCACCGACGTTTCTCTTTTAACTCTTATATATGTGTGTGTATATATATATATGTACTCTCCTCATCAAACAACTTAGTTATTACTTATATATTAGTACTATAGTATTTGTGGTACTTCTCATCTTATATATTCTTTTATTTTCCTGATCTCTGATGGAGAATTACCAAATGATTTTCCTTAATTCACCACCAACATCAAAGGCCCCGGAGCACGTGTCTAAGTATAACGCTAGTGATCTGTGGGCTCATTTTCATGGAATTGACAATAGTGTAGAATATCATGATCGTGAGGTGAAGGAAACGGTAAATAAGTTTGATGGACATATTATGGAAGCTTATCACAACAAGTCTGGTCATATTGGTGGTGATCATGAGAGTGGACCCTCTTATAATTGTTCGGAGAAGAACAAGAAGAAACCGGGTAAAAGACAAGGTGAGAAGGTGACGAGAAGGCACAAATTTGCATTTCAAACAAGGAGCCAAGTTGATGTTCTTGACGATGGATATCGATGGAGAAAATATGGCCAGAAAACTGTCAAGAACAGCAAATTCCCTAGGTTGGTAAATATCTCCTCCCTAATAACCATGATTTTATTGATCATCATAGTTTTACATATGTATAATTTCTAATTAACTTGTGTAGAGTTCGCTATATATGTATATTTTGTGGGAATTGAAAGAGCAGGAATTTCTGTGCAAATTCGTGAAAGTACCAAAGAGATTGAACACTTGCTAAAAGAATTGCTGGTTTTTATGTTTCTAATGAAAGCAGAAGCTATTACAAGTGTACCTATCAAGGCTGCAATGTTAAGAAACAAATCCAACGCCACTGCAAAGATGAAGGGATTGTGGTGACAACATACGAAGGAATGCATACACATCCGCTTGAGAGGTCAGTTGAAAACTTTGACCAGATATTGAAGGGGATGCGGACTTCCTACTAACCACGTAATCATGTGCGCGCGCGCGCATACATATATATGTACACCTCACGTATTGATCCACACAGAGTTTGCATAGTGTATCAATAATGGAGATCATTAATTAATTAGTTGGTAATGTGTATGGTAATAGTTTTTTATTTTTTTTTAAACAAGGATACCACCTTTATCTATTAATTAGGTGGTAGACAAGGACTGAGATCCAAAATTGCATAAGATGGTGCCAAAATAAAATTTGTACTTTAGGCATCATTTGACCAGAAAGTTATGGTTTGTGGCAAATATGTGAAAGAATATGCAATGGGGAAAATTTTGGCGACTCTTGTTTTTCACTGTTAGCATAAGATGGTGCCAAAATAAAATTTGTACTTTAGGCATCATTTGACCAAAAAGTTATGGTTTGTGGCAAATATGTGAAAGAATATGCAATGGGGAAAATTTTGACGACTCTTGTTTTTCACTGTTGTATATATGCATGCATATAGCTTGCTAGCTGGAGATTTTTTACTGTTACAATTCCAGATTCATGTACTCGCTCCAAATTCATCATTAATCAAAACATATCATCACTATGTTAAGCGGATTTGACCTCACCTTTTAAGATGTAGAGTTCAAATCTCTGATTCAAATTTTTTTTAAAAAGAAAAAAAGAAAAAAAAAAACAAGGTAAGTCACACGAAAAGGTTCTCAAAGTTCAATCTCCTCATTCTTCTTCCAAATAATTCCATCCAAATTGGAATACGCATCTGAAGAAAGATAGATTTGGTACGATATATATCAAGCAAGATGTACATGATACTATATATATATATATACACGGATATTATATATAAGAATGAATTGCGAGACATATGCAAAGAACGTTAATGATATTTCAAAAAGATATGATCATGAGCCATAATAATAAATGAACAAGAAAAAACTAGATCACTTTCATCAAACCCATACACACAAATCAGAAGATCAGATTATTTTTGCATAGTCAATAAAAAATTAGATCCACCAGGGTCATCAAACTAATAAGAATATAGGATCAGAGACATTAACAATCATGTTGGGACTAGAATCACCTCATTCTCATCATGGAATTGACCAAAACTTGCAACAATGAAAATCGCAAATATAATAGATACGACAACAAGCCAGCGGCGCAGAATAACCATGTATGATCTTCCATCTTTTTTATCACCGACACATATTTTCTCAGCCTCCACTTCTCCTTCTCTCTCTTCAATCACTTCTCTCTCCTCAAAACAAAGAGGGATATGATCATCAGCATTATCATCTCCGCTTCCAAAAGGATCGTCTTCGTCGTTTCGATCAGCATCAAAGTCATCGTCGTCGTTATCAAAAGACACTACCGATCCGACTTCACTGATCTCTTGCGCTTGATCAAGATCTCCGAAACAATCATCGGATTCGAAAAGCCTTCTTCGACCCTTTAAAGAGCCTGTCTCGATGGCTTCTCTTCGGTCTCTAAGAATCTCTTTCACTACGGAATCGTTCACCTTCCACATTGGTTCCGAGTAAGGAGACGTACTGATCAGATAGGGTTTGTTGCTTTGAAGAGAAGACATGAGTTTTCTCGGAGATATATTATAAATCCTGTGTATTAGAGTACTCCTAGTAGTACTGTCTACCGTGAGATCTTTCGTCGAAGATTTTGATCTGCGAAAGGATCTTGATCTTTGGTTAGAAGAATACTTTTTGAAGTTGTCCCATTCTTGTTGCAAATTCAGGAACTTTTGGTGCAGTTTGTCCCCGGTTACTACTTTTTCTTCTTCTTCTTCTTTGGAGGAGCTTTGCATGGTGGGGTAGTACTACAATTCACTCTCTCTTTCTAATTTCTCTCTCTATCTTTCTCTTCGTGTTTGGAATCATGGGATTTTTTTTATTTTTTATTTTTTTATTTTGAGTGGATTGACCAGGATAGAGAATTTGGCGGAGGTGATTGTCATTTTGATTTCGATTTTAAAAGGTGGTCAAAATTTTTTTTTCCTTTTTTTTTTTTTTTCTCTCAGTTGGGCAAATTAACTCTGCCCACGTTCTTGTGGTATTTTCTATGTAATTTCATTTTTATTGTTATTATTTTTCGTTGGAGTGTTATTTTCAAATTTTGATTTTGGAGAGAGTTAGTTGAGATCATTTGGGGGTCTGATTTGAAGTGGAAATTAATCTCATCCCTAATCAGATCTCGTTTTACTGCTCTTTTTTAATTATTATTATTATTATTATTATTATTGTTATTATTATTATTATTATTATTATTATTATTATTAATATTAATTTCTTTCTCTTTTGATATTTATACGTGCTTGATTATTATTATAATTGATGGATCATTATTTTTATTTGTTTTGTTTTTGCGTTTATTTTCTCCCCTCTTTGTACTGGTTCTGCAAAAGGGCAAGAAAACAGGCTTTTGGGATAAATTATTTTGTTCTCTTTTTTCCCGTTCCTTGAAGAACCAAAATAACAAATAAAAAAAATCATGATAAATAATTCCTTAAAAAAACAATAATGATAATAAAGAAACTTTCTTGTCTTCAGGAAAGAAAAAAGGAAAGAAAGATTAAAAAAAAAAACAAAGGTTTGTTTTCTTCACTCTGAAGATCCATCCGGCCCTTAAAAGCAAACTAGGCAATGTGTTCCTAGTTACACCTAAGTATACCATAACATATATTGATCGTGCATTCAAAGAAATGGAAACAAGTAAAAGGGAGATTAAGAACCCGTTCATTTCGCGGATTCAAGTTTTTAATTCGAGTTGAGATGTGATATTTTCTGAAAACTTTTCACTATAGCAAAAAAAGGTTAAATGCGACATTTTCTGAGAGTTTTTTACTGTAAAAACTTAAAATTAAAAACTCAAATTAATGAAATAAACGAGACATAAAAAACTGATGAAGTCACTTTTTAAATGTGTTGTTCTAAAATTTTCACTCTTTACTATTGACTAATAGCTTTTTAAGTAATATAATTTTTTAACTAAAAAGTGTTAATCAATGCAAGCCATAAAAATTGAAGACCCATATATTGTAAGAAATATTTATCTCTTTTTCTCTTAGATATAACTTAAAATGGCTTCATGAGTTTCAAAATGCAAGTAGACATGATCATCATGGAAATCATAATTACCTTAGCAAATTATCGACCCAATAGGTTTGTGGGACATGATGTTTTCATTAATTTAATGTTAATAGTCTCTACAGCCATGATGACATCCATTCTTTACAGCCAAAAAAATAATAATAATACTAAAAAAAAATTTAAAAAAAAAAGGCGCTTTTCCCTTTTTCCTTTTCCTGCTTTTAACTTTGACAGCCAAACCGATTTTGCTTATCCCCACCGCCCATAATAGCATAGAATGAGTCACGAAATTGACCTTATTTAGGTTGTTTCTCATCCTAGCAATACTGATATCAAATCAAACCGACCCATCTTTTGATCATGTTATCCGTTGAAAATTTTTTCAATGGTTGATATGTCAAACAATAGTACAATTGTGGTAACAAAAGCCATTTTCTGCTCTATGAACTTTAACCATTAGCCTTTTAGAGACTAAGATCCTCTATTTACCTCATCCTCTTTCCACTTGATTTTCTTTAGTAACATTTTCATTAGCAAGTTTTTTTAGACCAATAAAATGAATATGGAGGTCACAATCAATTCTGTGAATTTCAAAACACCTGTAGTTTTCGTCGAAGATAAAGTGATAAACATGGGAAGAAAGTCTGATACCCAATAACAAACACAAAAGAAGGGCATTAACCCACACTTGTCTTCAAAGCACGACCATTAAACATTCTAAGAATCATGTGTTTTCCATGTTCTGTTAGCAATAGTGCGCCACACTCTAAAGCTGCAGAGTTGGGACGAGATTAAAACTGTCGAATTTCTCAAGCTCAAAGTACAAGTCAAATCCAGAAATTGGGGTCAGTTTCTCCTAGGAATGTCACCAATATCCTTTAATTTCCTTAACGGCATATGTAAATCTCCCCATTGCGTTCAGCTTCCAGTGTTGCAGCTCGATATGTCCTCTATTATGCCTTTTCCATCCGTAGCATCAAAGCAGAAGAAGTTCTTCAGCGGATCTCCTTTGCCTGATATAGCTTTAATAACCTCCTGAGAAGTTCAACACCAGTCAGTGCGAAAACTTGTCATTATGCTTTTCATATTCATAATTAACCAAACTGAAAAACGACAGATACTGCACCTGCCCAAGAATTCCCCCTATGATGGCACAGACTGGAGGGAATTCTCTTGCATTTGTCACCAGTCTTTCTAGGAGGCCGTTGGGAATATGAGATTCATTCAGGGACTGCATCTCATCCAAAAACCAGGGACAAAAAATGGAATAATCACATTATGAGAAACGGGGTAAAAAAAAAAAAAAAATCTGGAAGTACCCTACCTGTGCCTCACAAAGCTCCTTTTTCAACTTCAGAACACCAGGAAGATCTTCAATTGAGACTTCCCCAGGTCTACGTCCCTCAACCTCTTCAAACCTTTCTAATACTGAAACAAGCATGAGGATAATCTCGGTTAGTTCTTCATGAAAAGCAAGCAAATCTATAACCAATTCATAGGCAGTAAGTGATGAATTACTGGATTAACTTAAACATTTTCTTTCTAAGACAGATATTTGAAGCAGCCTTCGCTTTTCTAGATATGAAGTACCAATAAATTATGTCAACACAAAGCGTAGAAGAAACACAACTACCCGACCACACCTCTCATGGCAAAGTACACCTTTGATGCTTTCCTAGGAAGTGTTCTCCAAGGCACTGAAATTGCTTCCTGCAATGAAAGGACATAAGTACAGAAAATCATTTGGTCGGTCAAAGATAAATGACACATGAACACACTAACAGAGAGCACTGTTTCTTACTTTTGATCATAAAACAATGCCGGGGTAAAGGATAGGAAGATAAGCAAGTATGCCATGAAACCCAATTGACCTACAGACCATAAAGAAAAGCTCCGATATACCAATTCATACCTCAAAACTTGAATACTTCAGTTCGCATTCAACAGTTTCCTCGAGTTTTTTCTGCCAAGAAAGATTGATGAGATATTAAGGAATAAATTAAAAGGATACTAAAGATAAAGAACTTATTAAATAAAAGAACATATTAAAAAAATGATCTTTCTTCAATGGTAAAATAGTTAAGTGAAGATACTTGTGTTTCTCATCATAGCCACAAGCATAACTAACAAGCTCAGTTTAGAACCAACAAACTCCTGAGACCAAAGCCAAAGAACTAGAAGGCTTTTTAAAGCAATTTTTTGTCAGGTGAGAATATGATTAAGAATCGAAACCCCAACTAAGAAATGGAGTCATAACATTTTACTGATTTTAGCATCATTTGACGAGTGATTTTCGTAAAGGAATATAAACTAGTAAAGATTAACCAACGCATGATTGCAAACATAGTATAACTAATCAATCTCAAATAATTGATACACAAATATCAAATATTACAAAGCTAGAAAAAGATTACGCATGATATTCACCTTTGAATATCTATGGAGTTGGAGATCAACAAAAATTTCACCACAAGAGTCCTTACAATCAACTGTATAAAATGCTAAACGTTTCGGTAACTTTCGGCATTTTTCATTAATCAATTTCTGCAGAAGAAGAATAAAAGAAAATATAGGAATAAAAAAAAAAAAAGAAGTGGATCATAATTTATAAACAAAGTATACACAACAAAGTCAAAGAACAAGAGTAGTACTTTCGTTGTGAGGGAGCAACAACAGACAACCACGACGTCGAACTTACTAAAGAATTCTACATCAAAGCTCGACAAATCTCCTGTAGCACCAAAATTTGGCATTCGCTTCATTAGCATTAATACCATTCACTTGCATCAAGAAACTATAGTAATGTAGGACAAAACAGCAATTCTAATACACAAATTAAGCACACAACTTACAAACAATATTCAACCAAGGGGAAAAAGAACTACCTTTTTCGACCGAAACACGAACCATTGGATTGAAATCTTTGAGAGAATCACAACAAAGCTCGGCTAGAGTTTTCCCAGCATACACATTCTCATCAGAAGGTATCAAAAAGTTGGCAGAAAGCGCCTCTTCAGTCACTTCCCGATCATCCACCAAAGTCAAACTACCAACACCCGCCAGTACAATGTTCTTGCAAAACTACTCACCCAATTTCAAGTCAATAAATTCAAAAAATTCAAAACCCACATTTAAAATAGAAATGAAAATTTTAGGAAAAAAAAAAAAAAAAAAAAAACATTTTTTTTTCAAAAAAGACATGAAATTTACCTCAGCAACAGTCCCTTTTATTCCATATACTAGAATATGAGCTTTGCTCAACCTAAAAAAGGAAATCAATAACGAATTTCAAACTCAAAAACAAAGCGAAACGAAAAATCAAATCAATTTTAAACAAACAAGAGAATTAGGTATAGATTAAGCACCTTCGCTGGGCGTCAGCGCCCCAAACCCTAATTTGGCGATCGTAAAGAGCGGTCTCCTGCTCAGTCAACTCATCGCCGTCCATTCCGAACTTCAACCTGCTTAAAGCAATTCAAAGTCTTTAGCTTCCAAAAATCTATGAAAACGAAACGCCAAAAACAAACCCTAAAAGAACAAAGCTTAAGCTTTAAGATCAAAGATGGCGAAAGAGAAACCCTAATTTGATTAGAATCACAGAGACATTACGGTGTTCAGTGGGAGAGCAGAAGAAGAAGAAGGGCAAGAAGCTGAAGCGGAGCGGTTAATTTGGAAAATTCGAAGGGGAAATGGGAAAATAGTGAAATATTAAGCAAATTTTGGGGATTCGAACGCAATTTTATTTTTATTTCAGAAAAATCGGATGAAATGTGCGGATTCTAATTGGGCCAAGCTCGTTGGTTTGGTCTTATTCGTTCAGCATATAAGCCTATATTATCGCCATTCAAGCAAGAAAGCCCATTTAAGACCCCTTGGGTTCAAAATTTGAGTTAAAAAATAAATTTATTTAAAAAAAATACTGTAAAAAAATTAATTTTAAACTTTTATGAAAAAATATTATAATAAAAAATTTAAGTTGTGATTTAAATTGTGAGAAAAACGGGGATAATGAGTTGGCGGCTGCTTTGCCACTAATTGACAATTTTTAGTTCAAAAATACAAAAAAGGACAAATTTTTATTCTTCTTTTAGATTTTCAAAATTTTTTAATTTTAATGGATATTTTGGGGAAATCTATGAGAAAGGATTTTTCTTTCTTTTTTTTTTTCCCGCTGAGAAGGAATTTTTTTTTTCTTTTATGAGGTATAGATATAGATTAGGAGGGAAAACATGGAAAAATATAAAAGTGTACAATGGACACAGCAATGAAAAATAAATAATTAGTTACCTCGAGAACATCGGAATTAATAATAATTCATTCCTTGAAAAAATATGCTTTAGCCCTGGTTTCTCCGCAATGTGCAATAATGCTTTTAGTCCCCATCCTGCATAATCTTTTACAAGTGAGCCCAACAAGTAGTTTTTGTCTTCCATTTCACGAACCAAAATAATTTTTGTCTTACTATTATGAGCGAATTATAGTCCTATAACTCAACAAATAAAAACTTTACTAGAATAATTAATTCCTTTGTCTCTTATTATCTATTATGTAATAGGTTACGTATGTCCTCTGAAAAGAACTTTGAATTTGATAAAAATCTGACGTACATAATTTTTTATAAAAAAAAAAAAAAAACAAATTTTGCTGTTTTTTTTTATTTTTTATAAGTTTGAATTGTAGTAAGTGAAACCATTATAATAAAATTTGATTAAAAAAAAAAAAAAAAAAAAAAAAAAAAACGGAGATCAATGAAAAATGAAATACCTGCATCATCGTCTTGCTTTGGATTCCTTACCATGATCGCTAGGCTCATATGATCATGTTCAATCATGAATTTTATAACAAAACCTTGGAACTTGAAATGCCAAGTTTTGGCACAATCTCAATGGTACTAGAGAAGTGAACCTGTTGGGCTCATATATGCATTAATTTGTTTTTTAGTGTATTTTTTAAGAGATAAAACTCGGAATGTGGAGATTCAATATGTCAATAACATTTAATTATTGTTGTGGGAAATTCTAAGAGTCATTTGCAAGTAGAAAGCTCACACGTAATAATAACGAAGGCGTTTTAACTTGTCCATGTTCTTTCCCATTCTTGCTTCTCATTACCACGTGTTAAATGTGATCCAAATCCTCGAGATAATTAAACAAAGAAATTTGAAGAAAACTCCACTTGACTGAACGTTACTCTCTCATTATGTTGAACCCTCGACAACATTACTAATTTGAATCACAGAATCAATATTTTAATTTAATTGAGACGAATAAAAGAACTCATATATTTACTATTATATTGACATTAAAAGTCTCCGTGAAAAATTCTGACATCAATGTCAACGAGTACGATACATTTGAAACATTAACGTTTAAATTATTTTCATAAAAAACTTAAACGTTGGGTTCATTTATATAATTCAAATCATGATTTGGGTTGTATATGTGAGAGAAAAATACTATAATAAAAAAGTTAAATTTAAATTTATGTGAAAAAAAACACTGTAACAATATAACTTGAGTCGTGACTTGAATTGTGCAAATAAACACAACTAAAATAATATGCATACAAACCTTAAAAGGTTTTATTTTTTTTAAATGGACAATAAATTCTAAAAATATAAAAAGACATTACAAATATCAATATACACATATAATCCTTATTATAGGAAACACAACACCACAGATAACCGATTCAATTAGTAAACCGGAATGAAGCTCAAGGGAAAATAGTGTATGTCGAACTCCACAAAGAAAATCACTCGAAGAGGTACACAAAAAATCGAGCACACACATGACTCTTGAACAGATCCTCTACAGTCCATGGAGACAATCTGATCAACCAATGTCGAGAGATCCAAAACACAAAAGGTAGATAAAAGACGCAAAAAAAATATCTTGCGGACGAAAAAGTCAATAACCTAAAGTAATTTTGGTAAGATCCGTTGATATTATAAATGAAAAACGAAAAACCCAAAAGCTAGAACATCAAACACTAAGGAGAGTAAGACCCCTTAACACTAGCAAAACAAAACGATAGAAAAAAAGAGTGGTTGGTAAACACACATAGGCGATAACAGGCTTGCGCACTACAAGACGACTTAACTTCTCGCGCAGACTACAAACTTTATAGTATAGGTTTAAACGAAGACCAAAAATGCCTCAAGTTCAAGGATGATCTCATTCCTACTTTAGATTCGATCCGATAACCACCTTCTTTCACGGATGGCATGACCTTCACCTTAAAGTGAACATCTGATGACAGGTTTATAGATGAACTTTAGGCCAGAGGTCCAGCGATACACCGAGCCTCTTGCCATTAAAACTCCTATATCTATTTTCCCCCCCTATCTTTATGTTTTTGTTAAGGGCAACTGTCTTAAAGGTTCTAATATTAGTGTCGTGAATTAAGTTACAATTGTTGACATTGGTGTCATTAATTAAACTTAATTATTGACACCTTATCAATTGGATTCATATGTTCTCTTTAATTTATTCTTATTGGTTACTCTTCAATATAACAAAGATATCAATTCTAATTAATTTATTCATTTAAATTTTGTAAATATTCAATTTTTAGGATTCTTTTCTCTCCTTGTTACCTAATTAAGTTACCCGTTATCTAGTTTCCTCATTGTATCGAGTTAAGTTACCCGTTATCTAGTTTCCTCATTGTATCGAGTTAAGTTACCCATTATCTAGTTTCCTCTTATAAAGATTTGAATTGTAATTGTAACTCTAGAAATACCTAGATCATTCAATGAGAAAAATATGTCATATTTTTCTCCTCTCTCAATTTTTTTCTATATGCTATCAGAGCAATTCTCCTAGGGCTCTTCAACGACTTTTCTTCACAGCCGCCACATCTCAAAACGCCACCACGCCTCACCACCGTCGAACCCCGGCTTTTACACAGCTGAACCCACCATCTGTTATAGCCGAGCCACCACCAACTCCGCCACGCGTACCGTCCATCACTGCCGCCAGTGACTTTTCTTCACAGCCGCCACATCTCAAAACGCCACCACGCCTCACCACCATCGAACCCCAGCTTTTACGCAGCTGAACCCACCATCTGTTATAGCCGAGCCACCACCAACTCCGCCACGCGTACCGTCCATCACTGCCGCCAGTCCTCCCTCTCTAATGGCCACCGACATTTCCCAAGTCACTATTCCAAATGCTCAAGAGCCGACCAAGCCATTGACGGTCGTTCATGTCAACAACACCGTTAAACGCACCTCCACAAATTATCTCTCGTGTAAGGCTTCAAATGAAGGCTATTCTCATTGGCTATGTCTCTATAAATTTATTGGCGGCTCTTATCCTCCTCATCCGGCTATTGTCACCGCTAACAATACCACCTCTCCAAATTCGGCATATATCACATGGCTTCGACAAGATAAATTAATTTTTGGTGCACTAGTCGGTTCTCTTACCCCATCTCTCATTCCCATCATTACACAATCCTCCACTTCCCGTGATGCATGGAATGTTCTTGTCAATACCTATGCTCGACCCTTTCGTGGCCGTATCAAACAAATTAAGGAACAAATCAAGAATACCACCAAGAATTCTCAGACAATTTCAGAATACATGCAATTTATTAAGAGTTATGCCGACGAGCTTGCGGCTCTTGGCAAGCCTATGGACAATGAGGATCTCATTGAGAAAATTCTCGATGGTCTCGATGAAGATTATCAACCGATTGTTGATGTGATCAATGATCGTGACACGACCATCTCCTTTGATGAACTCAATGAGAAACTTATCAACAAGGAGCTCTCCCTCCGCATCTCTCAATCTTCCTATTCTCCATTGCCAACAACCGCCATCGCAACCCATTCCTGACCCAGTTCGTAACGCCCTTCCCCACCAAGCGTCGCTCCTCCCGTTGTGGTCCCTTGGGGTGGTTGTCCTCCTCCTAGGCCCTACTTAGGACACTGTCAAGGATGCCGTGAACAAAGGCATACTGTTCAATAATGCCCCTTGTTTCGGCTATTGCCGTCAACTCTAACTTCTACTCCGGCACCTCACCTCACTCCGTCTTGGCAACCACGTCCACCGACAACACAATGGTGTCCTCGAGCAAATGTTGCCACCACCACCACATCTGGCGACCAATGTTGGCTTCTTGATAATGGAGCATTGTACTATGTCACTACTAACTTGAGCAATCTCTCTCTTCATACTCTTTATGATGGTCCTGACAACATTGTGATTGGCGATGGCACGAGTCTACCTATCACTCACACCGATTCTATATCGCTTTCCACTCCAAATAAAATATTTTCTTTAAATAATGTTCTTTGTGTTCTTTCTATGCAAAAGAATCTTATTTATATCTCACAATTTTGTCACTCTAATAACACTTATATTGAATTCTTACTCACTTCTTTTCATGTGAACGATCTTCGCACGAGGGCAATACTTTTGCAGGGTCAGACTAAGAATGGTGTGTATACCAAGTCTTCACCCTTAATAGCGTTTTATAGTGTTAAGACCACTTCGTCCTAGTGGCATCATCATTTAGGTCATTCATCGCCTTCAATTCTTAGGCATATTATCTCAAATTTTAATTTACAATTGTCGGGTCCTATGTCTTCGATTTCAATTGTAATGCTTGTCTATGCAATAAAAGCCACAAATTACATTTCTATATTTCTTCTTTTGTGTCTTCTTCTCCTCTTGAAATTATTATCTC